CCTACATCCTGGAAGGACATATTACATACGGGTGTTTGCTACTAACAAAGTTGGTGTCAGTTCTTTAAGCTCGGTAATCACCACAACCACTGATGAAGAAGGTAAAAGATTTTTATAATAAGTAACATTTCTCAGCTGCTTCTAAGCTCCAGGCAAAATTCAAAATTAGTCACGTTGCGTGTTATGGCCACTTTTCAGCACTTAAACAGTTCTTTAAAAGGTCTTGGATTGTAATAAATGTACATATATGTCTGAGTAGGAAATGTAAAGAGCGTAATGTAAAAAAAGGGATAATACCACTGATCATGACTGGTTACGTTACTCCAGTAATTGCAAGAGAGAATGATCATTCTCTCTTGGTAATTGATAGCTCTCTTTGACAATTTTGTGCCGTCTGGTACACTGCAAACTGGGACATATGTCCGACCCGACTAAGCAGCACCATTTTAGACAAACCAGAAAAGAGTCAATCATAATATATATTCTTGACTTTTAAGTATATCTTCAACTCCAAAATGGTGGTGTCTACATGTAGTATTTGATCTGCCCAGCCATAATGTCCTCTACCAATGTCCTACGTATACCGCAGGTGCGTTTTACGTCCAACGGGAGACTAAATTTTAGTGGGATATATTTTTGTCGGAGGACTACTTGCTATTTTTGTTGGCTCATTTATTGTTTTCTCTTAATGGACACTTCCCTAGTAACATTTAACATTTTAGACACTTCCCACAACTCTATACTTGATAATGGGCACCCTTGATCCGACAAAAAAGGACTCATTTAAGCTTTATCCTTCACTTACGGGAGCTTAGACTGTACTCAGGTAAAAACGGAACGTAGAAAGTTATTTTTAGTTCTGATTTCAATCAGGAGCCCATAAGCAGGAGCGAGCAACTCCCATACTGGGCCTATATCACGGTGTTTTTACGGAGCCGTTTATATTTAGACCGTTTTAGGGCACTTTTTCCCGCGAAAATGGGATCTCCGTGACGTCTATGAACGCATTGGAAGTGAAAGACATCAAAAAGGAAAAAGGTAACGTCATTAAAAGGGAAAAATTATCATTTTTTAGGCCTGTAGGTTTTGCTGACTGGTTTGTGGGACTTTGAAGATATTCTAAATTCTCGCCAAAAACTTTCTAAAAATAAACTTGTCCCGTGAAAACGCCGTGACACGAGGACATCGAAGTTGCTCGCTTCAGGTTATGGGCTCCTGTTTCAGTGTATGTGCTATGGTTTTTGTAAGACTATAATGTTATTGCAGTACCAAATGCTCCAGTAGTATAGTAAATGTTGCCATCTCCCTCACTCACTTTTATTTCTAACTCATCTCACAAAATCGCTCCTCTTGTTAAATAACTTTTTTCTAACTCATCTCACAAAGTCGCTCCTCTTGTTCACTCATTTCATTCGTTCTCAAGTAGTCGCTCTTTGTTCGAAGAGTTAGAAAAAAGTTATTTAACAAGTAGTCGCTCTTTTGCTCGAAGAGTTAGAAATAAAAGTGAGTGATGGAGATGTCAACATTTACTATACTACACAAAAATAAAATCTGATTTAAAAAAAAAATAAAAATAAAAATA